GGGAAAATACCGTAGGGTTGTATCTCCTAGGAGCACTGGTACACCTACCACAGGTGGCAGAGTATGATCGGGGTAGTGCCAACTTAGCCGCTCTGTACTGCTACATGAGCTCCGTATCTCGCCGAAAAGTGGATACACTTGGCGGCTACTGGAGGGTTTGGGAGGTACACCTCATTTTCATACTTTCTATTCGACTTTGCATTCTATTCAACTTTGCATTTCATTTTTTGTTCATATGCTTATTACATCATCCATGTCTTTCTGCTTGCAACTGTGGGTTTACACGTATTTCACCTCCCTGGCTCTGGTCCCAATTAGGCCGATTGAGTTGTCAGTACCCCGGTCCCAGTACTACAACTCTTGATTTGAGAGACGCCACCGCATAGACTGAGACTTCCCTTACTTTTGCCGTTTCTTTGACACGATCACTGTTTCCATATTGCACTGTCATTCTCATACTATATTGTTTCCGCACTGCACTGTCATTCTCATAATGTTGCTTCATATACCGTTGTTTCCATACTGTGGTTCCATACTACTTAGATCTTTGACATATGACATCGCTTCCATAGGTTGACTGGCACCCCTGGGTAGGTATTCCTCAAGCAGCGAGGATGACCTACATTGCTGCATAGCACGCCTCCACCATGCGAATTCTGTTTGGGGGCCCCTTTGACAGGACATATTACTTGGGAGAGTGGTTCATCTGTCAGACACGAGGCGTAGCTGATCCTAACATTCCTCATCCTCCTTCTCACGGCAAGAGGGTAGTTGATGATCTTTGTGATGGACCCCAGGTTGACTTCCTTATGTTAGGGGAGGATGGTGATCGGTACCATGAGCCCAACGACTTCATTGCCTTCTTACATACTCGGGTGACGGTGCTCCTTACCCTGGGCATGGCCTATGCCATTCCAGAGGTTGTTGCTGTTGCTGTTAGAGGTGCTTCTACCACCGCTCCGCTCCCGGGCTTCCTGTGATTCCGACTGAGGTCATATACATGCGGCCAAATGGGGTGATCGAGCAGATCCCCCTTGAGCATATTAAGGAGAGGGATCGCAGATTGGTGCTTGCCTCCACCATTGAGCAGGTAAACACTTCTTTATACTTCTGCCCACTGCACTTTCTGCTGTGCTTCATTACTTTCTGCCCATTATGCTTCATTACTTGATGTCCACGGTGCTTACTTTCTATTCACTGCATACCATTATCTTGTCCCATATTCTCACATCTTTTGCAGGTGCCTGCGGGATATGTGGATGACCTCCTCCGGACAGTTGATAGACTGCTCCTGATGGTACGGAGGAGACAGATTGCTCTAGCTATCCATGGGATTGAGTTATACTTTGCCCCTGGTTTACAGTCATCATAATCTTGCTTACAATTATGTTGATCTTTTTTGATATTTGTAATCTCTCTATTTCCTTTCTTCTTTCAGCTTGAGCCAGCATTAGTTGCACCTGCAGGACCTCCTCTAGCTAGGAGATGTTGACGAGGTCCAGCGAGGGGCAGGAGAGGAGCTGACTGGAAAAGAGGTAGAGTGAGATAGCGCTCTCCTCCCGAGGAGTGTTTCAAGGAGAACACGACCTCTGAGGAGGAGGGGGAGGCGGTTGACATACGGTCTAGCAGTCCTAGTGATGACAGTGACGCACCTCCTCCGTAACTGAGGAAGAAGAGAGCGAGGATGGGTTCTTGATTTTTTTTCTTTTGCTTTGTAGTTAGGAACTATATAGCTTCAGATGAACCTATGTATTTTGGTTTTTGAAGACTTTTCTTTTGTTTTTGGTCTGTGTAAATAATGATTGGGGTTGGACAGACCAGTTAAAAAGATAGATTTTTGCAGTGATTTTCTCGCATGATATGTGATGAATGAATGACACTTGCATAATACTTTTGTACAAGACTGTTAACAACTGTGAATGCTTGCTCTTGAATTGGTTCTTGAATCAGATAATAACATACAACTGGTCAAAATATAAAATGCAACTTGATAACATGAAAACAAAATGAGAATAACTCGAAAAATACTAAAAAACACTTGGTATAAATAAAATAGGACTCAAAATACAGCTATAGTACACCGAAGCAAAGGCCAGCACCTTTCTGCAACTGCACTGACCTACGCCAATATTTAGACTCGGCCATGTCTAAATAGGCACGGCTGGGCTTTAACGAGGCACGATCGGGCCCAAAAATGTGGTCAGTCAGTGTTGTCCAGCTGTTATGCACTACTGCTTCTCAAAGTTTATAAAAGGTGCTCCCAAGCTGTTTTGTGACGACCCTGACCTCCAAACTTGTACATTATATAATTTAAATAAGTTTAATTGCATGATTATGTGCTTAATTGTGTGATTACATGCTTAATTCTACAATTATTTGTTGATATATGGAATATCTGTTTAAATTGACGACTTAGAGTCGAAAATTGGGAGCCTAAACGGCTTCAGAAACTAAATTGACTAGCCCAAGAGGCTAATTAGAATATTTGAAATTTTATAGCAACTTTAATTGAAATTTGATTTGGACCAAAATAATTAGAATAAACTGATTGAATTAGTTAGAATTAAGCTTAATTAATTAATCCTAACCATATTTGATTAGGCTAACTTAATCACATCCTATATAAGACCCAAATTAAGCTTATGAGCTTATTTTATATACACGCTCAGTTGAGAATTGAGAGAGAGGAGAGGAGAGTTCAACATTTAGGGAGAGAAAGAGGAGAATTGTAGAGAATTAGTGGGAGGTTCAAAGATTGGAGTCATAACACACTTGAATTCAACACTAGGTATGGCATTCATCACTAACTCATGTAGTTATGGCATATAGTAGTTAAATTCCTCTCATTTTTGAACTTATTGGCATGCTAAGAAGCTATGAACATTGTAAAAATGGAAGAATGGTGTTGAATTGCTTACATGCATGCATATTTTGAGTTAAGATCCATGAAATTCCTACATGCATGGCACAATTATACCTCATTTTGCAAAATCTTTCATGTTTTCATGCTTCCCATGTCACTTGATCATATTTTGAACATGTTTTGGAGAAATGTACACTCAAATAGAGTTGAACTTATTTTATAAATTGAGGTTGGAGTCATTGGTTGGGAAATTACCATGATTTTGAATAAATGGGTTCAAATTGGAAGTGTTTTCATGTTATATAGTGACTCTCCATGTTTTATACCAAAAAACACAAGATTTGAAGCTTTGAGTACCATGTTTGAACTTCAAACACAGTTCTTGAAATTCCAGAATTCGTGCTGTCTGCTCGAGCGAGAGATTCCACGCTCGAGCGTGGAATTCGGGCTCCCAGAAGTTTCTAAAATTTTACAGTCTGCTCGAGCGACCAAAGTGGCGCTCGAGCGAGGACCCTCTTTCTCAATCTTCCACTCTAGCTACTATTGAGCGGAAATTTCATGTATTCAGTACTTTTGCAGACTGCTCGAGCGACAGAAATTACGCTTGAGCGACCATCTTTTTTTTTGAACCCCCGCTCGAGCGTAGGAAGTTGCACTCGAGCGAAGACCCTATTTTCAGCAAAGTTTTACCAACTCTTTTAAGTGCATATTTGCATCCTTATTCCACTCCAAGCATTCTTAGGCATCTTTTGGACTCAGATAATCATACAATAAGTTAGAGACGCATAAAAAGAATTGAATTAAAATAAATTGGAGTTTCATTTGTACTTTGTTATGTGCTTCATTTAGGTGGACATCCGAGGCTTAGTGTCACCGCAAACCACTGTGAGTAATAACCTTATAAAGATATGTGCTTGATTGAATGAATTCTTAAAATGATTTGATAATTGATAGCATGGCTTGTTGAAATGTTATGTCTTTCAATGAATGAAGTTCTATTTTGAAACAATATTGTGGCATCCATTGAATGTAGGCCCTTGCCTGGGGGTAATAATACCATGGCTAGGCCATTTCTTGGGGGTAACAGTACCATGGCTAGGCCCTTGCCTGGGAGTAACAATACCATGGCTAGGCCCTTGCCTAGGGGTAACAATACCATGGCTAGGCCTTTGCCTGGAGGTAACAATGCCATGGCTAGTATGATACGTTATCATTGGAATAATATTTGTCACGTCATGGATATACCACAGATAATATTACGAAGGACTTTTGTTACTGCAAAGAGATGCTATTATTGCTAATCAAAATGTTTTGTTGTGAATTTGATCTAATATGGCGAATGCCTCCCTTGAAATTGTAAAACAGGTTTTTGTACAAATGTCGAACTTCATTCACTTAACCTCTTTATTCTGTTATTACTCATTGGGCTCTAGCTCACTATTTATTTATATATGTAATTGTAGGTGGGTAAACTGAACATCAGAGTTAGATAGCCTCGAATTTACCCGGGTCAGCCTTTTGTGGAGCTTCCAAGTGAAGTAATCAGGCTTAGGTGGAGCCATGCTTGTCGAACCCCTTTTGTGTGGTTTAATGGTTTTGTATTTGTACATAGTTGGGGTTGTATTTTGTAAGATATGAATTTGTACTTATGTTGGATATAATTTTGAAACAAAACCTTGCTTGTCATATTTGCTTCCCTCATATATGCACGGCTCAATGGATATGAATTCTATAACATTTTTTTTGACTTCCTCTAAGCCCCGTACTTTACATTAAAGGCTTATTTGTATGGACGCCGTAGGTAATCTATGATTATCGGCCGGTCATGAAGCTAAACCTATAGGGGCGGGTTTGGGTCGTGACAGAGTGGTATCAGAGCATGAGTTATATCTCACTGACTTGTCCATTGAGCTATAGAAGGTCTAAAAGAGACTTCAGGAATGCATTCATGTGCATTTGATATGTTGAGTGAGATAACCTTGTGATTATATATGCAACTGTGTACATGACTATAGGTATATATATTGTGTTTGTTATAATACAAAGTTTCATATAGAAGATGGTGAGAAGCAGAGGTGATGAAATAGAGGAGGCAACCTCCTCAAGACTGGATAGAATGGAATGAATGATGCAAGACATGGCTGAAGCCATAAGACAACAACAACAATGGCAACAACAACAACAACAACCACCTCCCCAACCTCCAATGCATGTACCACCTCTAGCACCAGGGTGTCAGTCGGAGACCTATACTATTGCCTTGACCGGGGAATTTAAGAAGATGAAGCCACCAGTATTTCATGGCAGAATTGAACCGTTGAAGGCCGAAGCTTGGGTCTTGGGCATTGAAAAGTTGTTTAAAGTATTCCCATGTACCGAAACTCAGAAAGTGTAACTAGCAGCATTCACCCTAGAAGATGATGCTAGACGTTCATGGATGTTAGTGTGAGATGATAATAAGGATGTTACTTGGGCTCATTTTCTGGAAATTTTCTATGAGAAATATCTTCCCCATTGTGTGCGGGATAAAAAGGCAGCTGAATTCATGGAGCTCAAGCAGGGAAACAAATCAATAGCTGAATATAAGGCTCAGTTTACAAAATTAGCTTGTTTTGCACCCAACATGGTAGACACAAATTACAAGAAGGCTAGACAGTTCGAAGGACGTTTATGTGACCCTACTCTAGATAAGATTAATGTATTCAAATTGCCGACGTATGTGGATGTACTTGATAGGGCACTAATAGCAGAGAGAAATGTGGCCAGCCGTAAACAAAACTTTGAATGGAAAGGCAGAAAATAGAATTTTAGTAAGGGAACTATGTCAACGAACAAGAAGTTCAAGTCGGGGAGTTCTAATAATACCGATTCAAGCCAAAGTGGTAATTCAATACCAGCTTGTACTACATGTGGAAAGAAACATGGAGGTGTATGCTATCGTGCGACAGGGGCTTGTTATCATTGTGGGAAGTTTGGGCACATTGCCAAGGATTGTACACAACCACGTCAGAGTGGCAACCGAGTTGCCACAAGCTCGATTAGGACAGCTCCCACAACAAAACCAGCTGCAGCATCAACTGCCACAAGAAATGATCAAAGGCAAGGAAGGGTTTTTGCATTGATTCCGAGGGATACTCAGAAAACTAAGGCCGTGGTGTTAGGTACAATCTCCATTTGTGGTAAACCTGCTTATGCTTTAATTGATTCCGGGTCTACACACTCATTTATTTCTATGGTCTTTGCTGAAACTTTGAATAGACCTATGGAAACATTGAATTATATCACCTATGGGGGGATCCATGCTACGTTCAACTGTATTTATTGCATGTGAATTATTTCCCGGGAATGCTACCTTGTATGCTGATTTAATACCTTTAGACATGGGACATTTCGATGTTATTTTGGGTATGGATTGGCTAGCTAAATACCATGCAACTATTGATTGTGCCTTGAAACGAGTAATATTCGGACCTCCCGGGCAAGAGGAATTTTATTTTGAAGGAAAATGGGTAGTCTCACCACCATACCTTACATCTGCCATGAAAGCCTGAAAACTAATGAGTAAGAGTGGTTAAGGGTATTTGTGTAGTGTGATAACCGAACCAACGGTAGACATTACTTTAGACAATATACCAGTGGTGAGAGATTTTCCTGATGTGTTTCCAGATGAATTACCTGGTCAACTTGTTGATAGAGAAATCAAATTCACAATTGATGTAATACCAAGAACTCAACCGATTTCTAAACTCCCTACCGTGTGTCTACCACTGAAATAAAAGAATTGAAAATTCAGTTGCAGGAATTGTTGGATAAAGGGTTTATCAGATCAAGTACATCCCCATGGGGCGCACCGGTACTTTTTGTTAAAAAGAAAGACGGCACTCTCCGATTATGCATTGATTACCGAGAGCTCAACAAGGTAACAGTGAAAAATAAATAATCTTTGTCGCGTATCGATGACCTGTTTGACTAGTTGCAGAAGGCACATATATTTTCGAAGATTGACTTGAGATCAGGATATCATCAATTGAAGGTTAAGGCTGAGGATGTTGAAAAGGCTGCCTTTCGAACCAGGTATGGACATTATGAGTTTTTAGTCATGCCATTTGGGGTTACAAATGCACCTACAGCATTTATGGATTTAATGAACAAAATTTTCAAACCTTTCCTAGATGACTTTGTTATTGTATTCATTGATAACATCCTGATCTATTGGAAAAGTAAAGATGAGCATGAATGACATTGAAACTAACTCTTCAAACACTTAGAGAAAAACAGTTGTATGGGAAATTCAAAAAGTGTGAATTTTGGCTTGATGAAATTGCAATTTTGGGGCACATCATTAATAAGGACGGTATATCTGTGGATCCTCATAAAATTGAAGCCATTATTAACTGGCCTACCCCAAATAATGTACCAGAAGTTCGTAGTTTTATGGAATTGACAGGGTATTACCTAAGATTCATTAAAGACTTTTCAAAAATTGTTGGGCCATTGACTCAGTTGACTCGAAAAGGGGAACTATTTGAGTGGACGAATCAAAGAGAAACAGCCTTTCAAGAGTTGAAGACAAGACTGACTACAACCCCAATCCTTACTATTCCATCAGGTACAGAAAATTTTGTAATTTTTAGTGATGAATCCTATAAGGGCTTGGGTTGTGTTTTAATGCAGAATGGCAAGGTTATTGTATATGCCTCTCAACAGTTAAGACCACACGAGAAGAATTACCCTACACATGACTTGGAACTTGCTGCAGTTGCGTTTGCATTAAGGATATGGCGACGCTATTTGTATGGGACCAAATGTGAAGTGTACACAGATCATAAGAGCTTGAAATACTTCTTCACACAGAAAGAGTTGAACATGCATCAAAGGCGATGACTTGAATTAATCAAAGATTATGACTTACAAATTCCCTGTCATCCAGGCAAAGCTAATACTGTAGTAGATGCACTGAGTAGAAAGAATGTGGGGAATATTGCCTGTTTACTCACGGATCAAAAAGAGCTATTACTGGAGTTTGAAAAACTTGAAATTGAAGTAGTGCCTTTTGAACAAAGTAGCTTGATGGGTGTAATGTCTGACCAGTCTGCTATTCTCGAGGAAATTAAACAGAAACTGATGAATGATGAGTTTTTGAAAAAGATTCATGATGAACTTGACACCAAGCCTAAACCGGGGTTCATAATTAAAGACTTCGTGTTGAAATATCAGGGGAGATTGTGTGTCCCGAATGATGCGGATTTGAAAAGAAAATTTTTAGAGAAAGCTCACAAGTCAATGTTTACTATGCATCCAGGAAATACCAAAATGTACCAAGACTTGAAGTTAGTGTATTGGTGGCTGTAGACGCGCCCGCAGAGGGGGGCCTTATGCTACTACAGCTCGGACTCGCGATTTTGTTGTCGCGGTTCTTAATCTGAACCAAAGAGTCCAAATCTGGCAAATCGTTTTGAGAAACAGATTTTTGAAAAAGTAGTGCCAAACATGGACTGCTTTGCCAGATACAGAGTCGCCACCTAAATATTTTTTAATGGGGAAATTTAGGAAACCCTGACTCCGTGCCGAAGGCCACATATCCGTCATCACCGGAGTTGTCTCGGCTCGGGAGCTTGGGTACGATCGGGGAAGGTCAGCTATGAGCACCCCCTTTCGCCCGGTCCGAAGACCGGCCTCTACTAACCATGATATCCGATTTTGAAAACAATATGTGTTCTTATTCCAATTATTAGCCTGGAATTACTATGTTATGCGCGCAACAAACAAGTATAGACTAGATTGCCTAATTTGGAAATAAACATTGCATATCCGTTCGGTTTGAAAATGCTTTGGAATTTGCTACTCGCAAGTAGGCTAAAATACGGATTTCAACGAGTTTTTCCAACTCAAACAACCCAACCTTCACCCACAGGCACTCAAAACAGTTTAACACATAAGCATCTAGCCACATGTTAAGCATGATGTCATGGCAACATTCACACTCATGCGATATGCTAAAGCAGAAATACTTACATAGTACTCCGTGCCAAAACAAAGAACTTGTTAGCAAACATGCATGATCCAAGTCCATGTGAAGTGCCTAATGCATCGCATACAAAATGTCGCTAAGATAGGCTCGGCTAATCCTAGACATGTCATGTGAAAATGCACAACTTTCACATATTCAGTTTGGAATTTGACATACATATGCAGTTAGTATGATGTACCGAGCTCAATGCATGTAATACAAATACATGGATGCACGCATGCATAGCATGAGGTATGCTAATTTAAACGTGCCCTAATCTACCATCTCAAAGCAGGTAAGTAAAAACAAACCGAATAAATAATTAACTACCCTAGCTAATTAAATATTACAAATTAATTAAATACGCAAGCTAATTAATATTACAAATTAACTAATTTAATTAACAAATTAAATAAATTAATTAAAGCAGGAAAATGCCTCGGGAAGCGCGCCACCATGCGCAAGCTGCCTCTGTTTTCCTCCCTTTCCTCCTCTGGAGGTTGTCAAAACCTCAGGACTACATCCTTGGACAGAGGGGATCACCACCGGCTAGATGAAACTTCCACCGGCAGTGTAGTATAGCCATCGGCACAAAATAGGGCCTGTCGGCAGAGAAGATTGTGCCGGTCGGCACATTAAACTGCCGGTCGGCAGAGTATTCCTGCAGAACCTACAACTCACAGCAACAGAGGGCAAAACAAGGCATGGCAGCA